GAACTCTACTCAATGCTCAAGTCAGGATTTGAGCATACTTGAGTATGATTTCAAGCACTGGAAATACGATCCTAATGGCAAGGACTTGAGTATGATTTTCAGTGCTCACTGCAATACTCAAGTCCTGACTTGAGTATTGAGTAACTTCTGGAATACGACCCTGATTGTTGTATTTTTGAAAGAAACGTATTATGCGTTTTTTCTAGTTGGAGACAACGGAAAAAGAATCTATTGCTAAGGTACTGTCTTCTTAGAGACAACGGTGGTTCACAACATTCAATCTGTAAGCAATTAATTGGGCTCATCACACAAATCTCCTCGCGCCTGTGATCAGTCTTAAGGCTTTGCACTGGACATTATTCAACTTTCCAAAGGCAGCAGCATTACCTGGATGTAGGAGGTAGGTTCCATAATGTAGAACGCTTCTAATTAGGGCGTTGTATAGGAGTCTCATAGTAACTGGATGGGCTCCACACCAAACACCGGTTAGATATCTTAAAATATTTAAAATCTGTTTACACCTCATCGTGACATATTCACAATGAGGAATGCCTGTAAGTTTAGAGTCCAGGATTACCCCCAGGAATTTAGTATGGTCTTTCAGTGGGAGAGGCGTATCACCATAAGATATATTTACTAATGATGGAGAACGTTTTCTAGAAAATAAAATGACATTACTTTTGGTTGGTGATAAACCTAACCCGTTTCTGTCTAGCCAATTTTTTAAACATTTTAAATCCTCAGATAGATACTCACCTATTTCTTCAACAGAATATCCAAACGTTATATATATTTGGATATTCTGTTGAAGAAAAAGTAAATCGTCCGCGTACTGAAGGACATTAAATTGTTTAATAGAGCATTCTAAATCAAAAATATAAATGTTGTATAAAATTGGACTCAGTACCGAGCCTTGAGGCAAACCTTTCCAAACTGTTCTATTTATAGTTTCGTTTTGTCCTAAATGTACAATGTTATAGTGTAGAAATCTCTCTGATAACATATTATAAATAAAATTTATTAAAAGGGTTGGAACATTTAGCTGCTCTAGTTTACTTTAAAAAATTGTAATATTTACGTTATCATATGCCGCGGTGATGTCAAGAAATGTAGCTATTAAGGAGTCGTTGCTAGAGAAAGCCAATCTGTGTGTGGTAATGGTTGACAAACTGTCAAAAATACTTTTGCCTTTTCCCGACTGTGTTTCAAGTTCAACCCTGACGTTGCCGAAATCGTTGCGCAAAACGGCGGAGCCATAGATACAAAAGTTGAAGTTGAAGTTGGCCGTTAGTTAATAAACAATTGTGATGAATTGTGTTCTAAGAACCATTCAAGGCGATTTTTAGCTAAATGTTCATATTTTAGCTAGAACAGAAGCTAAAGCTATTGATCTGTATGATGACGGATCTGAAGCTTGTTTATTTGGTTTCAATAAAAGAATTAAGGACTGTGTTCTCCAAGACTGAGGAACTTCGCCTGTGAACATTACTGTATTAATCAAAGAAAGATAGTATTCTAGACAAGCACTATTTGAATTAGAAAGAAAAGAATATGGAATCCCATCTTCACCTGGCGCGGAATCTTTAACAGTTGACAGAACGCCCTTTAACTCGCTCATGGTGAAGGAAGACTTAATGTTTATAACATTGTTATTGTTACTATCTGTTGATGGCAGAAATGGAAGTGGTGAGGGGATGATCTGTTCTGAAACTGAGGGAGGGGCCAAGTGATCCATGATCTGTTCTGCATGAATAATAGAAAGACTATGTTTTTGAGTGGAATGAAAACCAGATCTAAATCTTCTGATATTCTGCCAAACAATGGAAGAATTTACACTGGGATCTAATGAGGTGCAAAATCTTTGCCATCCTTCAAATTTTTTCTTATTGAGCAGATTTTTTTTGTAGCATTGGCAATTAAAATATAGTTAGTAAAATTGTTATCGGTCATAGAACTACTATATTGTTTTTCGGCCTCTTTCCGCTCTTTTGTTGCTTTGGTGCACTCATCATCCCACCATGGTTGGGAAGGAATCTTACAAAAGCCACTAGAATTCAGTGGGAAGGTTTTGTCAGCTGCTTCAATCAGAAGTTTGGCCAGCCTATCAGAACAAGCTGACACATTGGTGTATGATATTACAGGCAAGACTTGTATCAGCTGTTCAACATTATTTTTAAATAAGTCCCAGTTGGCATTAATAATCTTATGTTTCAGGCGACGTTGTTTAGATTGTATAAAAGGTTTTTGAAAGGGAAGGTAACAATTAATGGATAATGATCACTGCCATAAGTAGAATCACTGGGGAACCACAACAAATCAGAAGCAAGATCAGGTGTACATATAGATAAATCAGGGGCACTTAAGTTTTCCCTAGGCCCTGTAATGCTAGTAGGTGAACCAGTATTTAAAATGCATAAATTACGGCTATCCAATAATTCTAATAATTGTTCCCCATAGTAATTTGAAATAGAAGAGCCCCAAGTCATATGGTGAGAGTTAAAATCTCCTAAACATACAAATGGTTTTGGTAGGGAGTTAAACAGTTGATTAAGATCATTAAATATATCATTATTGGGATGGGCAAAGTATATAGAAATGTAACAAATATTATTTACTGTTGCAGCTAGAGCAGAGATATCATAATTTAAATAAGGGAGAGGAAGAGTGCTAACTGTAAAACAATCTTTGATGAATAAGGCGACACCGCCAAACCCATCAGGCCTGTCAGACCTTACACAATTCAAGCCAGAAATGTTGATAATATTTTCCTGGTTCAACCATGTCTCTTGGAGATATACAATAAAAGGTTCATATCTATTAATTAGAGTAATTAATTCATGTTTCTGGTTTTTTTTATTACTGCGACAATTCCACTGAATTACTGTAGCTTTGTGATTCATCGATGAATGCAAGGTAACTAATATATATGCAACGTTGGAAGGTGATACTATATTTGATTGAGCTAACAACTTTGTTAATGCATTAATAATATCTGATATCTTTAATATTATTATCATTATTTATCAAGGTCAAGATTCTGGTAGAGATGGTTCTCTTATAATTTCATTGTGGGCTTTGCAATCATAACCTTTAGAAGAAGTAGGTGGTGTCCAAGGTTTCTTGAACACTGTGTTCCTATATGACTGATATGGAGATACATTATTAGTGGGCGCAGTGCTAGAATAAAGTCTATTGGATGATGTGACTTTGAGAGAGGGAGAAGATGGCTGAAGTCAGGCATGTATGACATCTTAGATATAGGCGGATGCAACTTAACAGCTTCCATGTAAATGAAACAGTTTTCGCTCATGGTTTCCTTTATACTTTTTTGTCTGTTATACTCAAGACATTTTTTATTTATTGCTTGGTGATGACCATTACATAAGCAACACCAGTAATCTTCCTCCTCAATGTCACAACTGTCACCCAAATGTCCTTGTCCACATTTATAACACTTTGGTGTGGAACGGTATTGATTTTTGACATGACCGAACCTGCAACAATTATAACACTGCACCGTAGGATAGATATACAGATCAACAGGTAGAGCTGTATAGCACATGTATACTCGGGTTGGCAGTACTTGACCGTCAAATGTTGTAACACTGGTACCTGTGTTTACAAATTCCCTTCCATTATTATTATTGGTAACTTTTCGTCCAATTCTTCTAGTTTTTATTATCGTGGCACAATCTAAAGGCACAGAAATATTAGAAATTATTTCTTCATCAGTCCAACCAAGCGGGACTCTTCTTACCACTCCCATTCTGGTGACATTAAAGGTTGGTATAAAGGCTTTGTACTTTTCTGCAATGAGACTTTCGTCCATCATAAAGTTATTAGCATTGGTGTAATTAATGAAATTCAAAGAAATACGATTTCGGCCTATTAGCTTCAGACTACCATTTACTATGCCTTTAACTGCTCTTCTTTTTAAGAATTGTCCAAATGTTACTGGGTGTAAAGTAGTGTCACTATTAACAGATAGAGTTTGTTTTTGAACATGGACTACAAAAGGAGTTACATCAGATGCCTGATAGTTAGAACGGCCAATAGGCATCGGTCGATTCGTCTCATTATCAATAATTTTATTGGAATTATCTGCATTATGCTGAGATGTCATATCAACTCTGTTAGTTATGTGCGGACTGGGATTAGACCATGTAATATCTTTTGTATAAGAATTTTCATCAGATTTATTCAATGAACATTGACAAACAGTATTGGCATTTAATTTATTTGATCCACTCCGCCTTCTATTTTTATTACAAGTTGCACAAACAACGCGAGAAACACGTTTACGTTTTCAGTAAACGAGTTGTTTGAGTCCATAGATGACTCAAGAGCATTTACTAGCATATCTATTGGAGTTTGAGCCACTGTATCATCTTCATTAAACGCATCTTGAGACACCAAAGGAAGTGTCCCTCCGGGGTCATCGGGCGGATCGCCCATAGTAACAAGAAAAAATTAAAAACTTACGAATATATACAGCAAATTACACACGATTAAATATAAATATACAAAGAATTAATACTAATATATACACTTATAGTACAAAAACCAATCCTTTTTTAGAGTTTTAAGTAAATTTAAAACTTGGAGGATAAACTGCGCCTTCGCACGAAGTTTCCCGCCCTTTTCTCGTAAGAAGTTTCCCTCGCTTTTTTCTTCATTCAATTTTTTTTTGTTTAGAGTCTCATAAAAAATAGAAAACCGGAACCGATTAAAAGTCCTGAATGTCCGTTATTTCTATTTAATATTATTATAAATAATATATATATATAGAGGCTCAATGTAAACTAGGCATTAATCAGTACGATTATTAACTGAACACTTGTAAACTTCAACAATAAATTTTATATATTTATAATAATAATAATCGTACTGATTAATGCCTAGTTTACATTGAGCCTCTGACATCTTAAAGCTGTCACAGCATTATGCTGCTAAATTGGTGCGTTGAAAACAGTTTTGTGTTATGGGAGAAATAAATTCACCACAGAAATGATACCAATTAAATTGGTTCTACATTATTCTATTTATTTGTATGGTTACTGTATGTTAACTCTTTTGTTGTTGTTGTTGACTCTTGTTTTGTTAACCCTTCAATACAAATTACTAAAAATGTAGTGTCGTACATTGTAGAATTACAATCATTCGTAATAAAAGTTGAAAAAACGTTCAATTTTCATCTTCACTCCATTTCCACATAATTTCCTATGTAAAAAAATGTACCAAATGCATTCTACGACGGTTTCCCGTTATCAATAGATGCTAAGTATTTGGGAATAAACTAAAATAAGAAACTAAAAACATAAAATAAAAAGAATGTTGTATTTTGTGTGCACAAGCATAATTAATATTGTGAAAATAAAATGTAAACATGTTAAAAGGCAATAAGGCCGATAAAAACACAATGTAAGCAGTGTATATTATTCAGAAGTAGCAAACGTTCGAATATATTTACATGGATAAAACTGATGATTATTCAAAATGAGGTAGAAAATAAAGGTAATTACATTTACTTTATCAATATTTAAGAGTCTCTATGGTTACAGTTTACACACTTAACCTCCTTGTAATGTTATTAACCTCATTTGATCTATGCTAATTCATTCATTGTAGGTACACATAAAGTCATTTCATACTGAATTGAATTTGCATTGCAGTAAGTTTGACAGTTTGCATCGAAATCGAACTCGAACGTTAGACCACTTAATTAAAATATCAAATACAGCAACAATTAGGTACATAATTATTATTATACATTTTAACATGACATTATACATATTTTATGTATTTTTTAACAAAATAGTAGATTGTTAAACGTTAAAAAAATCCTTTCGTAAATATGGCTAAAACATTGAAATATATATTTTTTTATAAAAGCTGGTACTAAAGTGACGTCCTTTAAATAGGTTTTGGCTAAGTGCATAAAATACTATTTTCCTCTAATATAATATTTATTAAATTGCTTATTAAAGTTTTAACTTGATTTTAGGGTTTTATAAGGATTGTGATGTAATATTGAATCTTAAGACTAATATCACAACTCGTTGCTTTGGAAAGCTTCTTTAAAGGCTTGTTTTAAATCAAAAATAAGATCATCTGTGTCTTCCAGACCCACGGAAAGTCTAATAAGAGAATGCGTAATACCCAGTTCAGTTCTTTGATCTTCAGGTACTGATGCATGTGTCATTACAGATCTGCAAAGAAATAATATAATATAGAAATAAGATATGTAATTTAAACACATACTAACATTTAATACTTACGGTAATTCTGCCAAACTTTCATATCCGCCTAGACTTTCAGCAAGAATAAAAATCTTTAAGGAACTCAAAAATGCACGAGATTCTTTTAGATCTCCGGAATGCCTAAAACTGAATACTCCTGAATGTCCAGTCATTTGTTTCTTAGCAATTTCATGTTGTGGGTGCGACGAAAGTCCTAAAAAAAAGTTGTCACCTCATCGATATTTGAAAGGTTTATTCGTTAATTTGACTGACACTGGCGACGATCGCCATAATTTTTGTATTCTTATAAAACATACTGGCCCAAGTCTAGTGGACGTCATTAAGGAAATAATAAACGGAAATTGAAAAAAATACCGGGATGTAAAACTTCAACAACTTTTGGATGCTGTTCCAACCACTTTGCTATGATCAGTGAAGATTTCTTGTGTTGTTCCATACGAAGCGCTAAGGTTTTCAAACTTCTGTTTACCATGTAGCAATCGATTGGTGACGGTACAACTCCCATCGCTGTAAAGCAAACAGAAGCTAGGTAGGAAGCTAAAGAACAGATATACCTTTGCACGTTACTATTACACCTGTCCGTCGGAGTCCACTCGAACAAAGTATGCAGCAAATCCAAGTAACTAAATATTGACTGAGAAATCAGAAATACCTAGCTTGTTTGTTTTTAATTCAATTCTATAAACTATTTTCAAATATTCTTTAAGTTATTTAGGTTTTGATATTATATTGATTTACAGAATTACATAAATTGCAATAATAATAATACTATAACTCGTTCATTTGTGATAATGCAAAATGATTATATCTAGTGAATAGTCGTCATGATATATCATGCAATATATTCTGTGAAAATTAACAACAAAATGACGATGAGATTGAGTCATCAATAAGGAAAATACTCGCTAATAGCCAGGACAGTTGACATAAAAAGAATATTATATCAGAAAAAATTGCATTTTAATATTGGTCACATATAAAACATTTCAGCAAAACCTGTTTGCTACATAGTTGAATTCTGTGACCTGACGGAATAATAAAGGATGTTTACTTGACCAATACGTGCAAGTTGACTGTAGTTAGTCGTAGAATATCCTTATTATTGATTTGACAACATACAATGAGAATCAAGAGTACGTCATTTTTCAAATTGATAGTCATACCGTTTTGCAAAAATCGAAGTCTTTTTTCAAGGTTGTCATCATTTAGTACAACTGCTCCCATAATGACGTCAGAATGTCCATTCATGTATTTGGTCAAAGAATACATTGACACATCAGCTCCAAAATCCAAGGGCTTTTGTAAATAAGGAGTTAGGAAAGTGTTATCTACGACGACAATGATGTCGCCATGATTTTTTGCTTCTTTTACGATTGCAGGTATATCCACAACTTTCATAAGTGGATTCGTTGGTGTTTCTGCCCAGATCATCTAGAAATAAATAAATTCGAACGAACTTTTGCAATAACGTATCGCCTGTTATATGTTGTAACAAGTATTTGCGTTATTCATAATTTTTTTTATTATAGTTACCATTTATCGTATAATGTTTACAATAAAAATAAAACATTTCTTTGATAGTCACACGAGATTAACGAAACAAGCTGTTTCTATTGCGAGTATCGATATCGTCTTATCACCGTTGTTTAACTTGACTTTAGTTTCGCTCCTCACGTTTATGATGAAATTTATTGCTTAAATTTGATTAGTTACGTAACTCTGCTCTTTTCGTTATGATTGTTGTATATCTACAGTTTACGCAATTATGCTCTAATTGCGTAATTTTACGTATTCGAGTACTTTTGCTCTGATTTTCATTTATCTGAGTGTTTTTATTACTCTGAGTACTTACTCGTAATTATTCTTACTAACGTGGAAATTCAAAGCAAATACTTAACCATATAGGTCAATCAATCGAAAAACGTTCAATCGAAATTCTTGTGGTAAATTAATAAATTCTTGTTATTTTAATAAATTAACAACTAATAACCAGCAAGTCATTTAGTTATGGCGATATCGCCTTGGATGACAGCTGTTGATTTTGGTTTACCACGTGAAAATATAATTTTCTTTTATAGATCAAATAAGTGCGCATTTGACTTCCATCTCACCTAGCAATATACCACAAAAAATACCTATATAATGCCTATTGACTTGAAAAGTTCGAAGTTATAGCGTTCGGGGAACAAGTCTGCTGTTAGAGGATTCCATTCCAAAATCGTACGCCATATAAATGTAGAAGTGTAAAGCTTCGTGGAATATCCACAACATAGGAATGAAACCCTAACTTACATTCGCTTATTCCCATTCGTCACCACTGGATTTGTTTCTAAGGTCGACAAATGGGAAAACAATGTACAAAAACAGCCCTTACTACCGTACAATAAAAAATATACAATAATATTTTACCTAATAGCTCCTGACATAAAAGAAGCAAATGATAATTTATTTTTTTTAATTTAAGAAAATATTTAACGAATGAAAGCTATATAAAATTGAAGAACATAGAAAATAAGTAAATAATTAAATAATGTAAAAATATTTCAACAATTACACTCCAAATGAACACAATGAATCAAAGTATAAATACTTAATAATTAATTGTAATGACTATATATGAAAATACATGTAATTTCTGACGAATTCATAATATTTATTAATAAGTATATTATATTATCTCGACTTTCTCCATGACGTTTTTTGCTTTAGTTTTAGAATTTATTTTTACATCAATTTTAAATTTTGTCATTTTTTGTTTACGCCTCTTAATTCCTATTCAAAATTTTTATTTTTTTATTATAATTTCTTATATTGCATTCAATATCTTGCTTTGCAATGCCCTATTCAGGGTCATGTACTACACTCTAGTGGTAATGTAACACATTTGAAACACCTGACTATGTACATGTGACAGTAAATAAATACAAATCCAAAAACAAACCATTGTGACCAGGCGGTGACAAACGGGATTAAAAAAATCTCGGTTGTTGCCAGTGGTGATTTCCAGTAGCGACAAATGGGAAAAAACCCATATGTTACCGACAAACGGGATAAAATAATATCAGTTGTTGCCAGTGATGATTTCCACTGGCGACAAATCTGAAATACCCCATGTTACCAGGTGGTGGTGGTTACAAATGGGATAAAACGATCGGTTGTTGCCACTGGCGACAAATGGAATTTAAAATATCCATAAGTAGTTACCAGTGGTAAGAAATGGAATAAAAATCCCAATTAATGTTTGTTTATTGCCGCCGATATAAAATTCGAGTTTAATTATAAAAATTCAGATCTTATTTAAAAAAATCAGTCTTAAACATCAGATATTTCCAATACCATACAATAATAAAAATATCACAGTAGTAATGACATCATTTACAATTATTCAGATAGCCTGGATACTATAAATATAAAACAAGAGTTAAAATATAAAAAAAGACTAAACTGCAGTGAAAATACTAAACATCAACTACATATATTTGTGATGTTTAAGACTGATTTTTTGATAAGATCTGCATTTTTATCTTTAAACTCAAATTTTATTTTACTGCCTTTCGATGTTGGCAATAAACAAACAATAATTGGGATTTTTATTACATTTGTTATAGTTAAAGAAATATTATTTGCATCGATGAATGTTATCTCTTGGAAAGACTTATTCTTTCGATTACAATGGAGTAATGAAACAATTAACACTTATTTTAATTTAAACGTAATGGAGTTAATGATCTTAGTCAATCGTACGAGTCATGAGTGCGTTAAATGCTTTGTCTAAATTCTAGTTTTAATTATTTATTTACTCATCAGGTCGTTTTTTTATCTTCTTTTTTATTTTACATCGACATTGATAAACTACCGACTGCCAACTTTTTTCTTACTAATTCAACAAAGTTAGTTAAATATTAGTTTTCCATCCTCTAAGAATATTACCAAGTTTAGAAATAAGTGTTTATGTGGGTAAGTATTTAAACTAGTTGCTTGCACTATAGATGGACGGCACATGCGTCAACGAGACAGGGGGTCTACCCTCGATCTCTGACCGAAACAATTACTGCTAATAAGCGAAACTTGATCAAATGAAAAGACGCGTGATGCGAATGAAGCTTCATACTTGTCTTTTAATTTTGTCGAATATTACTTATTTCACAGTAATTGTTTCGGACGGAGATCGAGAGTAGACCCCCAGCTCACTTTTTTGCCCTGTTGTATTCTAAGGACAAGATGAATCGGTCCAAATAATATTTCGCCAACTATACAACTATTACCACTGGTAGCTACTGGGATCTTTTAAATTCTGTTTGTCGCTAGTGGCAACAACATAACTTTTTATCCCATTTGTCACCACCTGGTAACATATATGGGTTTTATTTTCCCATTTGTCGCCAGTGGAAATCATCACTGGCAACAACTCAGATTTTTTTATCCCGTTTGTCACTACCTGGTAACATATGGGTATTTTTGCCATTTATCCACAGTGGGAACAAAGCCAGTGGTGACGACTGGAAATAAGCGCTTACATCTAGTTACTCGACGATGAAAGGGATGGCGAAATTATTTCATCCAATTTCGTCGCATAATTTCCGTGATTTATTATACGTACTTTTGTATTTTTCTTAAATTCCTTCTTAAATTTTTCCAAGTTTGTAAAGTCAGTAAAAGACACTTCTATTCCCATTCTCGTCGCTACATTCCTAAAAAGTAATATTATGTTAAAGAAATACTTTCTTTAATGGATATTTGTTAAATAAGCAGGAATTTTACGATAAAATGAACATTTTGAATGAAAATTAGAAATGTTACCTAAAAAGTCTATTTGTACCACCATAGACATCATCGCTAGAAATTATGTGATCACCATTGCTTAGCAATGATATCAGTGTAGTAGTTGTACCAAGACCAGAAGCAAAAGTGAAACCGTATTTTCCTCCATCAAGTGCAGCGAGACATTCTTCTAAAGTGTTTCTTGTTGGGTTTCCCGATCTACCATACTCAAATCCCTATAAATGAGGAAAATGGTCCTTATTATTTTTCACTTCTATGGCACCTCGTCTGTTAAAACTTTAGCCGTAATTTAACTATGAAACCTACAAGAACTCATTCATTAAGGATATATATAAATATTTACTATAGAAGTAAAATGCGGCGAAAAAAATAAACTAAATGAATAATTTTTGTTAACTTATACTTCTGACAAATGATTAAATATAAATTAATCACATATTAATCAATGGAATCAATTTCAATATTTGCAGCTTGTAACCTATTTATAAACAGAACATTTTACTTACGGTGTGTTCGGCCGGTGCTGGTTGTTTAAAAGTAGTGGATGTTACTATGGGTGGAACAACAGCTGCTGAACTCCATTTTTCCGGATCTTGCCCAGCATGAATAGCTATAGTTGCAAATCCAGGCTTTTGCTTTAGAAACCCTTGGTCTGCCATCTGATTTCACAAAACGTATAGGTATTTAAATAGTCGACTCGAAAACTGGCACATTTACCATGTGTAAAAATTGTATTGCAAAAATATTTAAAGTCAAGGTTATGGTGTAGTGGCAAACTATGCTATAATTACATCATTCTGGGTACTAAAGCATAATTTTAATGTTATGATTATTTTTAAAATTTTAAATCCACATACTAACCTTAGTTACTTTCACTAATGACCACGTATTGTGTTGCAACCTAATTGTTTTTCGTAATTTAATACGAAATTTCACAGCTTAGTTATTTTAGCACACCGGCCGGGTTGAGATTTCAATACGTAGTGAAGCACAGACTATTAGTGAAGTGAACGTAGGCGATCATGGTGTTGCTGTTTATAACACAGCGTCTGCAGAGTGAATTAAATTTTAAAAATAACCAATCAAGCTTTTTAAAGCATTGTCATCATTCATTATTACTATGAAACAGAATAGAAGCAGAAATATATAGATATTGTAAATGAATTTCGTATTAATGCAAGTTTTTTGGTATTTCCGGTTTTTGAATCGTCAATTGGGGTAACCCTATTATACGTTATGTTCGTTTTTTATTTAATCATATATCCATAATAATTATTATATTTAATTCTAATAGTTTTAAGTGGCACTATGTTATTCTTAATATTTTTTTATTATATAATTTTGTTATTTTAAAATTAATCACGTGGATCACCGTGGCCGAGAAATACAATATTTATTTTTTTAGAGGACATTCATACAATTTAAACTCATAAATCTATTTTACAAGCATTGACTATTTGTAAGTCAATGTTTACAAGACCAATTATTATTATTGAATGGCCCGGATCAAGAAATCACTAAATCCATGAAGGGGTTTTGTACACTGCCAACATCATTTGTGAAAATTTAACATTGCCCAACGTTTAGTCTCACCCTTTTTTTCTAACAAGTCTGCCATGTTTTAAAAAAATGATAAGCTAAACTCCCATATGTCCAATGAGTTGACTTCAAGAGTGCTTTAAAGTATTCTAGAACTCTACTCAATGCTCAAGTCTGGACTTGGGTATGATTTCAAGCACAGGAAATACGACCCTAATGTCAAGGACTTGAGTATGATTTCAAGCATTGGAAATACGACCCTATTGACAAGGCCTTGAGCAGGATTTCTGCTGACTTGAGCATTGAGTAGAGTTCTGGAATAAGACCCTAAGAGTCGTATTCCAGAACTCGACTCAATGCTCAAGTCAGGACTTGAGTATTATTTCAAGCACTGGAAATACGACCCTAATGGCAAGGAATTGAGTATGATTTCTAGTGCTTTTCTAGAATAAGACCCTAAGGGTCGTATTCCAGAACTGTCAAGGACTTGAGTATGATTTCTAGTACTTTAAATCATACTCAAATCCTGACTTGAGTATTGAGTACAGTTCTGGAATACGACCCTTAAGTGGGTTTAGGATTTAATTATTTAATTCAATACAGATAAGTATATATTTATTTGTAATATTTAAATATATTTTATAAGTTGTATTAAAAACATGAATATTAAAAAAATGTATATTAAAATAATAATATTTGTGAATAAACATATAAAATCAGAAAAAAAATCATGCTCGTGATAAAAATAAAATAATAAATAACTGTTGTAAGTTTAATTCGTCGCATAATAGTGTTATAGATGTCAAGACAGTACCTGCCTCTTGCTAATATTATTTTTATATTTATTTTAAGCCATACTTAGAGTCGTATTCCAGAACTGTACTCAATGCTCAAGGCAGGATTTGAGCAGATTTGAGTATGATTTCAAGCACTGGAAATACGACCCTAATGGCAAGGACTTGAGTATGATTTCTAGTACTTTAAATCATACTCAAATCCTGACTTGAGGATTGAGTAGAGTTCTGGAATACGACCCTTAAGTGTGTTTAGGATTTAATTATTTAATTCAATACAGATAAGTATATATTTATTTGTAATATTTAAATATATTTTATGAGTTGTATTAAAAACATGAATATTAAAAAAATGTATATTAAAATAATAATATTTGTGAATAAACATATAAAATTAGAAAAAAAATCATGCTCGTGATAAAAATAAAATAATAAATAACTGTTGTAAGTTTCATTCGTCGCATAATAGTGTTATAGATGTCAAGACAGTACCTGCCTCT